GAGATATTGGTCTGTAGTTTTCCTTTTGAGTGTGTCCATTTCTTCTAGGTTTTCAGATCTGTTGGAGTACAGTTTTTCATAATATTCTGTCAGTATCTTTTTTATTTCAGTTGGTTCTGTTATGAGGACACCTTTTTTGTTTACTATTTTTGTAATTTCCATCTTCTCTTTCTTTTCTTTTATTAGATTTGCCAACGGTTTGTCAATTTTGGTAAACTTTTTGAAGAACCAGCTTTTTGTTTTATAGTTTCTCTATTGCTTTTTTGTTTTCTGTTTCATTTATTTCTGCTCTGATCTTTATTATTTCCTTACTTCTGGATACTGTAGGAATCTTTGGTTGTTCTTTTGCTAGTTGTTGGAGTTGTTCAGTTAGAGTGCTGATTTTGTTTCTTTCCTCTTTTTTGATATATGCATTTATTGCTATAAACTGACCTCTGAGTACTGCTTTTGTGGTGTCTCATAGGTTTTGGTATGATGTATCTTCATTCTTATTTGTTTCTAGGAATTTTTTTATTTCAGTTTTTATCTGTTCCCAGTAGTTTCTGAGCAGTGAGTTGTTCAGCTTCCACAGGTTTGATGCTTTTTCCTTGCTCCTCCTATTAATTTCTAATTTTATGGCATTGTGGTCTGAGAAGAAAAGTATTTCAATATTTTTGAATTTATTGAGGTTTTTTTATGTCTTAACATAAGATCTATTCTGGAGAAGGATCTATGTGCACTGGAGAAGAATGTTAATTGTGCTTTTGTTGGGTGGAATGTTCTGTTTATGTCTATAAGGTCGAGTTGGTTGTTGTGTTGTTGAGTTCTACTGTATCTTTGTTGAGTTTTTTCTAGTTGATCTGTCCCTTCTTGAAAGTGGTGTGTTGAAGTCTCCTACTACTATTGTAGAGTTGTCTATTGACCCTTTTAATTCAATTAATATTTGCTTCACGTATTTAGGAGCACTTTCATTTGGTGCATAAATATTGATTATCATAACAACTTCTTTGTTAATTGACCCTTTCAACATCATATAGTGTCCTTCTTTGTATCTTATGTTGATCTTCACCTTAAAGTCTATTTTATCAGAAATTAATATTGCCACTCCAGCTCTTTTTTGGTTTCCATTGCCTTGGTACATTTTTTTCCACCCCTTAACTCTTAATTTGTTTTTACCTTTGTATTCTAAGGTGGTTCTCTTGTAGGCAACATATTGATGGGTCTTCTTTTCTTATCCAGTCCCCCACTCTCTTTCTCTTGATTGATGCATTTAATCCATTCACATTGAGTGTAATTAGTGATAGGTGTGAATTGATTGCTCTAATTCTATTGTGTCTCTGTTATGTTGTTGGAGTTTCCTTGGTCTATATACTTTTCTGTGCTGAGTTTGATTTGTTGTCAAGTGCTTTCTCTCTTTTCTTCTTTATTGTTGGTTTTGTGCTTATTAAACCCATATGTTTTCCTTCATTCTGGATTTGCTTAGGGGGATTATTAATTTTCTCTGTGGTTACCTTGGAGTGAATCCTTGTCTATATTTTTAGAACAGTCTGTTCTATGAGAATATTCTCCTGTTTTTTTCTCCATTTGGAAGTATGTACCTAACTTTTATTCCTTCTATTTGGTTAGTAGCTGTTGTCGTGTGCAGGTTGGCTTCCTTGATTTTTAGCGTGCAATGTTTTATGGTCTTATTTTGAGTGTCTATTTCCAATTTGGTTTTAGTGTTGATTTCATGTGTCCTAATTTTGTTGTTCTCTGTTGTCAATTCTTTATTGGAAGGACTTCCTTAAACATTTTTTGTAGGGTGGGTCTGGTTTCACAAAATACCTTAATTTCAGTTTGTCTGAGAATGCCTTGATTTCCCCCTCATATTTGATGGGCAGTTTGGCTGGATGTAGGATTCTTGGTTGGAAATTCTTTTCCTTTGGTGTTTTATATATGCTATCCCATTGCCTTCTTGTCTGCATGGTTTCTACTAAGTAATCAGAGGTTAGCATAACTGATTATTATAAGCAATATTTCTTTTGTCCCGGGCATCTCACAAAATTCTTTCTTTGTCTTTGGTTTTGAAGAATTTGATTATGATATGCCTCAGTGTTTTTCTCTTGCGATCTATCTTGTATGGGGTTCTATGAGTTTTTTGGACAAATATTGTTTCTTCCCTCATGGTATGGGGGAAGTTTTCACTTAGTAGGTCTTCCACAATATTCTCAGTGGCTTTTTTTACCTCTTCTTCTTCTGGAATTCAAACAAGGCATATGTTGTTTCTTTTCATGTAATCCCATATAGTTCTTAAGTTCTCTTCATTTCTCTTAAATCTTTGTTCTGATTTTTCTTCATACAGGCTGCTGTCCAGGGATTTGTCTTCTAGTTGAGAAATGTGTTCTCCAGCCAGTTCTATCCTATTCTTTTGTGCTTCCACTATATTGTGTAATTCTGAAATTTTGGTATTCATCTTCTGGATTTCTAACTGCTATTTTTGTATGAGTTCTGATTGTGCATTAATCTTATTTTGTTCTTGAATGGTTTTCCTGAGTTCTTCCAAGGTACTGTCTGTGTTCTCCTTGCTTCTTTTTGTGGGTTTCTTAATCTCTTGTAGAGCTCTATAAACATACCTTCTAAATTCCTTCTTGGAAAATTTTATTGCCTCCTCTTCCTCCATGTTTAATGAGACTTGTTTGGGATTTTACTTCTAACATCTTATCCTGTTTTTATGTTTGTTTGACTTGAGGTTACCTGCTGTTTCCTAGACATTTTGAAGTTGTCTTTAACTGTTAGTTATGTATTGATTTGTTATGTCTTGGTTTTATGATTTAATATTTTGAAAGGTATAGCTCATGTATTTTATTTTTTGGTTATTAATTCAGGTGTGCTGGGTTGCTGTGCAGTTTTCTTTGTGATGATGGAATCACTGTGTGGAATGTGGATGCAGCTCTCTGTTTTTCCTAAAGGGACTTTAGGATTCAAGCTGGCATGTGTTATGGTGACTGAATGTGTTTTTTCTATTGGAGGCAGGGCAAAGGCAGAGGAAGGGGAAAGAAAAAAGAATATGAAGAAAAGCTCCAAGCCACCAGTAGTGGTTTCTAGGGCTTTGAGCGGCTGCTAATGATGATGTTACACTGTTACTCACTAGCCCACAGCTCAAGTTCAGCAAAGACTCCAATTGTTAGGGGACTGCCACTTTCTGCCAGGTTCAGACAGCCACAAAAACCCCACTCTCAAGGACCCTCTGTGCCAAAAAGCTCAACTAGGATAACTGTCCCAATCCTCAATGAGAGTTCATCCCAGGGCCCGCCCACTTGTGGCTTTATTCTCCTCTCTGCTTCTGCACTTCACTGGTACCCAGAGTCAGAGGCATCTCAGCTCCCTCCCAGCAGTCCCAAGTTCACTGATAAAAGCAGATGCTAAAGGTAGGTCCATGGAGTGGCTGCAGGTTCTCTGGTTTGGTGCATTCTCTCCATTGCCCCAAGGAGGTCTCTGATGCCCTTTCTCACCTGCTGGTCAGCACTCTGCAGGGCCAGTTCACCTGTTTTTGTTATTTATTTTTTTTTTTCCCCTCTGGGTAATTGCACTGCGCTTTCTCCTTTTAATCCTACTCCCCAGAGTTTGGTGTACTCTGACTTAATGAGCTGTTCAGAGCACCAGAATACCCATTTCAAACTGCTGTACCTAGTTTTCAGGCACTAAGATGCTAGAGAGAACTAGAATGTGCGCTACAGGAGATATGCCATTTTCAGAGTCCAAGAGAATTTTATTCATCTATAAAATTTACAGCAATGACAAATTTTCCCAGGTGCAGTTATGGTCATTGACAGTATTAGTTTGAGTGGCTTAATTCTGCCACTCTAATTTTTCCTGGGTTAACTGTTCTAGTGTTTAGTGTTACCAACAAGATGTGATTTTGTAGTCTTCTTTTTAAAAGTTTGTAATAAATCTTACTGTGTGCAATTTTAACCAATATGAATCTTAGTTTGCATTTACTATTTCTACTAGTAATATTAGTGAATATGACAAAAACTGATCACTTGATTTTATCTTTGGGAACAAGTATATGGGGTTTGCATGTGCATTAGGGTCAAAATGTCTAAATAGAGTTTCAGCAAATGTAAGAATTAGAGCAAGTTGTGTTAACAAGACCAAATCAAAACTTCCTTATTGGTCTTATCACCCACTGCCTGAGTTATCATTCCAAAATACATTCTTGATCCTGTCCCTTCTCTCCTTTTCTTCTTCCATGCCCCTTATAAAATTTGAGATAAATGTCACACTGCTTCATGTATAAGAACATTTATGAATGAGGGTCCACTGTGTTAATATAAGATGCTGGCAAAAGACCAGACTCATTTGACTTCTTCCACCTCCTATCCCTTCTCTAACTGGACTATATACTCTAGGTCAGTCATTTTTTACCCTAGTTGATCCTGTGAATTACCACATTACCTCTGGAGCTTTAAAAAGAATACAAATGCCTAAGCCAAACCTTCAGAGATTCTGACTTAATTGTTTCAGGGCCTGGGAATTATGTACCTATAATTGAGAACCATTGATCCAGGTTAGCTGACATTCTTTGCATTCCTCTTATATATTCTGCACTTTCTAGAATCACAGTTTTATTTATTTTGTTCTTCATCCTTCATCCTCCACTTAACTTTTATGTCGATTAAGACATAAGCCTTCAGATCCCAGTTCAGATGCTACCTTTTCATGTGTATTTCCCCCTGAAGATCCAGCCAGAACTCTTCTTCCTCTGAATTTTTTGAGCCTATCTTCTAACACTCATCAGTTTCCATTGGTATTATAATTATTTATGGCTGTGTCTAAGAATCTCTAGCAGATGGCACTGGGAGCTCCTTAAGGCCAGACCCTACATATCATTATTTCTGAACCATCACTCCCTAGTTCATGCCTAACACGACTAGCAATAAGTTAGAATTTTTAAAATAAGTAGAGAGATAATGGATGGATGGATAAATAGCCTCACCACACTACTAGATGGATAATGGTCCTTTATTTTGGGATTTCAGAGTACTCAGAAGAACATCTCAAATCCAGCCTTCAGTCCATCAGGGTGATGGCACCTTGGGCATCATTGGGAGAGAGAATGGAGATTGCCCAGAAAGCACTGAAATGACATCCATGGAAATGAAAAACCCATATAGCCACTTTGAGCCATGTGTTTCTGAAAATGGTTATGGTAAGCACTTGTTAAGGCTATGATCTTATTCTGGAAAGAAAATAAAATTCAATAGATTGAAGGAGTGTTATGGATTGAATTGTGTCCCCCAAAAAGGTAATGTTGAAGTCATAACTCCTGGTACCTGTGAACATGAGCTTGGAAATAGAGTTTTGATGATGTTGTGAGTTAATATGAGGTCATACTGGAGTGTGGTAGATCCTAATCCTCAGTAAGTGCTCAAGAAATATTAACTGAGTTACTAGCAACAACAGTGATAAAAGTTGAATCAGTTAGCTGTTGCCACAGTAATACTGTGTGTGTGTGTGTGTATATATATATATATATATATATATATATATATATATAAAATCCACTGCCATTGAGTTGATTCTGACTCACAGAGACCCTATAGAACTGTAAAACTGCACCATAGAGTTATAATAACTCCAAAAACCTTGTGTCATACAATTAACAAACATTTATTTTCACTTACACTTGTGAGTTGGGCTAGGGTTTGGCTAAGCTGGGCTTGGCCCCAGGTTATGGGTTCTATTTAGATTTGTGCTCATGCTTAGCCAGGTGGGCTACCTGGGGCATTTTCTTCTCATGGCATAAGCTGAAAATTCTTGAAGAGGCAAGCAGAAGCATAAGATGTTTCTAAAAGTCTTGGTTCAGAACTGACCACACTTACTTCTGCCTGTGTTCTATTGTTAAAAGCAAGTCACATGACCACACCCAACATCAGTGAAGGTTACCAAGGTTGGAGGAGAGGTGTAATATTTGCTGAACAGCAATAGTTAATATAGTAAAATAGTTAATATAGTAAAAGCTTACTAGGTTAAGAGATTGTTTTGAGCATTTTACATGCATTAGCTTATTTAATGCCCTCAATAATCCTATGTGGAGGTCCTTTCATTATTCTCATTTTGCAGACTAAAACTGTTGAAGTTCAGAGAAGTTAAGTAACATGCTTAGGGCACACATATAGCAAATAACAGACTTGGGATTCAATCCCAGGCAGGATCTTCACAAACTCATGCAGTGTAATTTTGAGCATTGACCCCATAAAAAGTATACTCCATTTTCTCTATTGAGAACTGTTTACCATGACTTGACTAAAAATATGTTGGAATAAGACACTGTTGTGTAGACACTGAGAGTGGACTCTGTCCCCAATCTTTCATAAGAAAATTATGCCATATTTCCAATGTTCTCATGTGTCATTGTACGATGTTAGAGCTAGAAGGTAATTTTGTAATCACTTAGGCAAGTAATTTTCACACTCTGAGTTGTAATCCATTAATGACTTGTGAAATTAATTATTAAAAATAAAATAAAATAAGAATATATCAGAGTACATGTTACATAGTAAAACAAAGTGCTGTTTAGTGGAACTTTTTTTTCTGGTTATACACATGTGAGCGTGTCCCAAATTTTACCATGCCTTGTAACCATTTATCTAGGCTGTTTATGTTTAATAGCACTGTTTTGGGTTTTGTGCCCAGTTTTCCACCCAAATTCTTATCATTTTTCTCTTAGAACCTCAGGAAAGGGTCTGAGTCTTACTAACCATTATGTGCTCAGTAATGTCTAGTGTGGTGGGATTCATTGGCAATGTCTCTTGCCTCTTCATTTCAGTAAACCTTGCTTATACAGATGAAAGTACCCCCAGACATGCTTATGGAAGCCAGCTATTGTCCGGACATGATTGGCACACATCACCCCAAGGTAAGGCTTTAATGAACAGTGACCACAAAATCAAACCTGGAGAAGGAATGTGTTCTGGGCAACCCAGACATGACCATTTCTTCTTGACCCCTGATGTACTAAATGATGCAATACTTTTTAATTTATCATAATAAGGTTTACTTTTAGACTTGCAGTTTCTTCTTTTCTGAATACCAGAATCTTCATTAGGAATCTTCTGGTTGCAAGTGACAGAAATCAACTCAGATGGACACAAACCCAGGGAAGGTTTGTTGGCTCATGTGGTAGGAAAAGAAGCTGGGGAAACTTACAGAACTGAAGGTAGAATTACCCCCACAGCAGCTAGCACATAAAAGATATTTGTTAAATTAATTTGTTGAATGAATTAGAAGAACCAGGATCTCATGATCTGAAGCCACGGGCTTAGTGCTACAAGATGGAGAACTTGTATTCTCCATCCGTTCCTCATCTCTCCTTGACTCAGCTTCTCTTTAAACTTGACCTCATTCATCTTTATCATACTGCTCTCAGTTTAGCCTCACTAGAAAGCTTTTCTTTCTTTCTGGGTCTGTTAATCAGTGCTGGGGATGGACCCTGAACAGCTAGATTTATGGCATATGCTCAAATGGCATACATTACAAGTACTCAAAGTCACAAACAGAAACACACAATATCTCTAAAAGCCATCCCCTTTGCTAATGTATATGTTTGTGAGGAGGAGGGTGCATTGATCAAAATGTTTCTGAATAATCATTAAATTTTTATTATGGTAAAGTGTAGGAGCAATTGGAGTGGTGAAAGACAGAAGACAGTGAAATCAGTTAGAAAGCTCTGTAAGGGTCCCTGTGTGCCATGAGGAAAGTCAGATCCAAAGAATTAAAAAGGAAGCAACATAAGAGGAAGGAGCCCTGGTAATGCAACAGTTAAACACTCAGCTGCTATCTGAAAGACTGGCAGTTTGAGCCTACCCATTGGCTTCCTGGGAAAAAATGCCTGGTGATCTGCCCCCATAAAGATTACAGACAAGAAAACCTTTTGGGGTAACTCTAGGTATTGGTAATGGTTACACAACATGGTGAATATAGGTAATTCTACCAAACTGTACACTTGAAAGTGGTTAAAATGACAAATTTGTTTTGTTATATATATTTTGCCACAATTTTTTTTTTAAGAAAGGAAGTAGCACAAGGCTGAAGCTAACTACACTGAAACTAAAAGGCAAATCTGAAAGCAGCAAGGAATAAATAGATGGGATCATCTATATAATGTAATTGAGGGACTCTGTGACTTAAAACTATCTCCCCATCTTCTGGTCTCATAGCCTAAATGATAACCTTTAGCCTCATACTTCAAGAGTGTTCTTAAGCAAAGAGGATGGGGGTGAACTGTCTTTCACAAAGGACTGGCATTGCTACCTGGGAATGAAAGCCATGGGGACATAAAAGATCACATTCTGCATTTGGTTCCCACTGAAGTAGAGAATGACTTTAATTATTAAGGGAAAGAAATGCCTTCATACTTCGTAAGACTCTGTCTAGCCAGTATGAAGTTTAGGTAAAGAGAGAAGTAAAAAAAAGAGAAAATATATAAATGAACGTGGCTTTCTTCACCATTTTGCCTTGGGTTGGTTCTGATTCTCACATCTGCTACAATTAATTGATGGTCAGCTTCATGATAAAGTATCTGCTTGATGGATTAAACTGTACACCTGCAAAACACCTGGAGCATAGTACTCACTGCCATCGTGTTGACAATGACTCACAGTGACCCCTCCTTGGGTTTCTGAGGTTGTATCTCTATGGAAGTAGATTGCCCAGTCTTCCTTCCGAGGAGTGGCTGGTGGGTTTGAACCACCATCCTTCTGGTTATCACTCAAATGCCTTAGGCACTATGCCACTAGAGCTCTTTGGAACTTGTAAGTAATCATTCATTTATTAATGACTCAGTGAATGAATTATACACCAGCATTTTGTTATAGGAAGGGGCTGGAGTAAAGTGGTTTAGATACCTCACTTTGTATTCAGACACACCTGGGTTTGACATCAGCTCTGCTGCCTCCTAGTTTTGTTACCTTAGGCCAATTACCTCCTTGATTCTCAGTTTTCTTAGCTATAAAATGGATTTTTTTATAGTATATACTTCATAGAATTATTGTGATAAATGAGATACTCAGAAGGCTGGTGGTTCAAACCCACCAGCCACTCCTCGGAAGGAAGGTTGGGCAATCCTACTTTCGTAGTGATACTGCCTCGGAAACCCAAGGGGGGGGTCGCTATAAGTCGGGGCCGACTCGATGGCACATAACAACAACAACAACAACTAATTAAAAGTATTTGTCCCACAGTAATGGCAGATAGTTCTTATTGTTATTCTTGTTGGTGGGGATAAGAAATAGTTGAGTTCTAGTCCAAGCCTGCTAATGAATTAGAATGTGATGGGTGATGAGAGTAAACTCACCTCTCTGAGCCTCAATTTCTCCAACTTCTAATTAAAGAACTTGGCCTAGGTGATTTCTAAATGAAGTCTATTGTGTCCAGGATACAGAAAAAGGACAGTGGCTTAAGCAGTGAAAGGCTTATTTTTCTTATGTAGCAAGAAGTCCGGAGGGAGGGAGCTCAGAGTTTGTTCTGCATCTCTAGCTATGATGCCCTCAAGGGGTGAGGCTCCTAGTTTTTTCTCCACCATCCTTACCAGGTGAATGTTTGTCCTTCTCTTATCAAAATGGTTGCTTCCAGGCAAGAAGGAGTAATGGTGAAGGGAAAAAAGTGAAACCACGTAACACTGTCCCCTTTTAAAGAGCATTCCTGGAAGCCATTGGCCAAAACTGGGTCATAGGTGTTCCCCTACACAAAGGAAGCTTGGAGAATTTTAACTAAGCACTGTGCCTCCACCAGAAATGGGACTTTCTGCTGGTATGGGGAAAAGGGAAAATGGATAGTGAGAAGGCAAATAGCAGCACCTACCACAGAAGGGGGGCCCTGCTACAGGCCTAAAGGATCGGTGGTTCACACCCATCTGACAGCACCACAGAAGAAAGGCCTGGCTATCTGCTTCCAGTCAAGAAAGCCCTATGGACCAGTTCTACTCTGTAACACATGACATTGCCATGAGTTGGAATCAACTCAACAGCAACTTTTTTCCCCCCTTTAAATTTGTAACTATGCAAGGTGGTGCAAACCCAACATTGAACTAACAAATCAGTCTTAGAAGAAACATAACCAGAATGTTCCTAGGAAGTGAGGATGGTGAGATTCCGACTTGCTTACTTTAGACATGTCATTAGAAAAGACCAACAGCTGGAAACATGTTAGGTAAAATAGAGGGTCAATGACAATGAAGGAAACTCTCAGTGAGATGGATTGTCATAGTAGCCACAACAATGGACGCAGACATACCGATGATCAGGAAGGTGGTGCAGGACTGTGCAGCATTTTGCTCTGTTATACATGTGGTCACCATGAGTCAAACTCAATTCAGTGACAGCTAACAACAGCCATCATCACCCAAGCCAGTCAGGAGATAATAACTGTATCACTCCAAACCCATCTGGTAAGGAGCTCTGGTGACCCAGTTCCTAAGGTATTTGACTGCTAACCAGAAGGTTGGTGGTTCAATCCCACCAGCTAGTCTGTGAAAAGAAGATGGGGCAATCTACTTCCATAAAGATTTTCTGCCTCAGAAACCCAAAGGGGGTCACTATGAGTCAGAATCGACTCAATGGCAGTGGGTTTGGTTTTCTTGGTTTGGTTATGAAATTATAAATATCAGCTATAAGTTGTAGGCCAGAGGCAACAGGTTAAAAAGACAATCTTGCCCTTTGATTATGAGTCATTTAGAAGAAGCTCAGCCTTCTGCTTCTAGAATCCTGCTGTCTTTAATGAAAGATTCTGTTTCCAATTTCTTAAGTGGTTACCAAGGCAGAACTCTTTGCAGGAAAGTACACACCCTGCTGCAGAGATTTCTCTGTAAACGTGGGGAGTTATGTTGTGATTTGTGTGAGGTTGGCTTTGGTGATTTCATCCTGGCATTTTAGAAAATGTACTGGTGCATCTCTTTGTGATTGTCCATCATTTTCCTGAGTGTTCCTGACAGTGCCAATGTGATTATTGAATAAAGTCTTCGGAAGCCCACCCCAGTGGAGAATAAGGCTTGGAGGTGGCAAGAGATGTTGTCTGAAGACCAAGGGAATGACATCGTCATAGAGGTTGAGAATGTTCCATCTGAGATTCAAAGCCACCCATTCCCAAATAAGATTTCTCAAGATAACGTGCTAGTAAACTCAAGCTTCCACAGGGTTGCATCAATTTCTGACATCGATGTGATAGACTCTCAGATTTTCAGCAAATGGAATTACAAGCAGAGAAAACAGTTGTCACAGTTTTCAACCTCTCTGAATGAATCCGTTTCACAAACCCTTCATATTCCAGAATGTATGGGACTCAGCACTCCTTGTACCTCACTTGAAAGCATTCAAGGTAGTAAAACTCTGGGGAGGAGTTAGGAAGGGAGAAAAGAAGTCTTCCAAGTTGTCCACAGGTTACTTAGTTCAAGACCTATTTGACAAATAGGTTGGAAGTTTGGTAGCATAAGTGAAGATTTGAGGGATGAAGCAAGGGACCACGTAGAAGTACTCCACTAACAAGAACTCACCTTTATCAGACATTTCATGAGCCTGGTGTTCTGGTGAGCACTTCCTTTTTGTGATCCATTAAATTTAGTTTACTTACTCCCCAGTATTTGAGACAGATGCTTGGCTTGATGAGGAAACAGAGGCTCAGAGATATTAAGTAGCTTGCCTTAGGTCACACAGCTAATAGCTGGAAAATCCAGGACGCAAAAGCAGGTTTGCCTGATTTCTAAGTCTGTGTCCTCAACAACTAACTCACTGTTTTGGTCCAATGTCTCCCTACCCTGGTTTTAAGTAATATAGCATTCCTCTTATTGTAGCATCTGTCATGAAAACAGGTATTCACTGAGGGTTCCCTGCCTCTCTGCTCTGAAGGCCAAAAACTTACACTATTTCTGTTTCACCCCATAATGCTGTTGTTGCTGGTTGCCCATAGAGTGGCACAAACAGTTAAGCATTTCACTACTAGCTGAAAGGCTGGCAGTTCAAATCCACCCAGAGATGACTGAGAAGACAGGCCTGGAGATCTGCTGCTGAAAGGTCATGGCCTTGAAAACCCTATGGAAGAGTTCTACTTTGCACACATTGGGTCACCATGAGTCACCCCATAATACCCCAGGCATAAAATCTAGCCACTTCCTATAGTTTTAGGAAGAAAAAAAAAGTCATTCATAGCAAAGCATTTTTCGGGTTTAGTCCTTTTTCTGTAGACTAAGGAGTTGCCTGACACGCTTCTATCCCTGGGCATCTCTGTTTTCCGTTCTTCACGCCTTTTTCCTTCCTCCTTCTCAGTCTATTGCTCCTCAGTCCCTTTCAGGAGAGACACAAATCCCTTGTCTTGTAAGAGTGATTTGGTAGCCATCTTATGGGCACTCCCCTCCACCTCAGCTGTGGACTTGGTGCTTTCCCATGAGTAGTTCTGGCTCATGATGTGACTGAGAAGAGTCAGTGGGTTCCCTCTGTCTATCATTGCAATCTCTAGCATGTCAGCTCAGCCCCAGCCAGCCTCTACTGGCTTCCTTCATGCAACAAGATAATGACAACAGTTCCAGGTGTCACATATGGATACAACAATATGGAATGGAAGAAGGCTTTGTCTTTTCCTTATCATGATTTTTTTTTTTTTCAAAAGAAACCTTTCCCAAGAACCTCTTCAGTAGCCCACCCTCAAAGAATACTGGCCAAAGTTGTGTCACATGGATATGTCTAAACCAGTCATTGGCCAGGGGCTAGGACCATCAGGATTGGCTCAGCCTCACTGGGCCCAGTCCTCTGTGCCTGGAGATGGGCCAGCCCCCAGATAAGTGCCCCTGTGGGGAAGGGGCTTATTCTTAAACAAAATGGGATTCTGTTAGGAAAGAGAGGAAGGCTTTGTGATGGGTGATCAAGGTGTCTGCTGTGCTGACTCAAAATGTGAAAATGAGTTAGTGGGGAAGGGGAAGGGAGTTTGTTCAGAAAAGCATGTGGCAGTTGTCAAGACCTACAGAAGGCCCTCAGGCCTGTCATACAGGGGGCAAAAGAGAGCCAGGAGATATTAAAATGAGAGAGGAGGGGGGAAAGGTAGGCTTGTTGTCTTTACTAAGTGCTTTCTTGTCAAGGAAAACCAGAAAACATGCACACACATAATTGGAATTGAGTGCAAACATTATCATTCACTTTGGCTTTGAGTTTTAATAAAGACACATGTCATGCCTTTTTCCTGTTTGTATTTAGGATCTTTGGAATCCCAGACTCCATATCATCTTCTTTCTTTGTGCTCTATTAAAAACATGCCATATTTTAAAATGTTATTATTCTGGGAGGAAAATAAAAACTAAATTTCCATTTGTTTTGTTTGCTTCCACAGGACAAAAGTTAATTGCTTCCCTGATACCTTTGACCCCAAGAGACAGAAATAAAGCCATTAGAAACCAGCCGAGGACCATGGAAGAGAAGAGGAACCTAAGGTAAGGACCCGAGGCCTTTCTTCTTTCTAAGATTTCATGAGCCTTGATCTTCTACTTTTGTTCTATCTCAAAAAGGTAAATGTGGAAAAAAAGACAAATCTTCCTCAACAGAAGAATTCCAAATCACTGACATTGGTACTCCCCTGGCCTTGAGTGTGAGCTACTTTTAGTGAGGTGCTTCCCAAGAGTAGGATGTGGAAGGGGGAGTGAGGAGAAGACTGGCTAGCACTACCTCAGCCAGATGATCAAGGTTAACATCACTAGAGATAAGGCATGTGATGAGAAGGGCCTTACCTCTCTGCGGTATTCTCCCTTAAAACCTATAACGCCCATACCCCACTCTTATTGTTAGCTGCTGTGAAGTTGGCCCTGTGTACCACAAGCTACCCAGTCCTACACTATCCCTATGATGGGTTGTTGATCAGAGCATTGTCATCCATAGGATTTTCAGAAGTAAATTCCCAGACCTTTCCTCTTAGTCCATCTTTATCTGGAAGCTCCATTGAAACCTGTTCAGAATCATAGCAACACACAAGTCTCCACTGACAGGTTGTGGCTACACATGAGATACATTTGCCAGGAATTGAAGAATCCTACCAATAAACCACCACTGCCCAACTCCAGTCTAACCATGAGAGGAAAAAAATCAGATAAACCCAAAGTTCTACAAAGTACTTGAGCAGCACTTCTCAAAGGTTTTAAGGTCATCCAAAATAAGGAAAGACTAAGAAAATGTCATAGATTAGAGAAGACTGAAAGAGATAATACAATGTGCTGTGCTGGATGGGATCTTGGAACAGATAAAAGACCAATGGAAAAACTAGTGAAATATGAATGGAGTCTGGAATTTAGGTGATACTCATGTTCTGATAGTGGTTCCTTAGTTTTGACAAACATATCATGGAAATATAAGACATTAACAGGGGGAAACTGTGCATGGAATATAGGAAACTCTCCGTACTACCTTTCTAAGGCCAAGAATTCCAAAACAAGGGTGAGGATTGTTTGAGCTTTCAGACTTTATATTTACTGTTTTTCTTTTTTTGTTTGGCAATTTGTAGAAACTATTAAACTGGATGAAACAATTGCTGATAAGTAATTCAGCAATTCAACACACTGTTTTGAGCTGGATATTGAGATTGTAAAGATAAATTTCACAGTCAGGTAGGGGAGATAAACTTGTCAACAAGTAACTTATATATGGTAGAAAGAAAAGCTTGCCAAGTCAAGGTAGGAGAATGCCTGGGAGGAGCCAGAAAGGAGAGGTGCTATTAATTTGGTTACAGCAGTTAGACATTTGAGCTGAGCCTTGAAAGATGCTAACGATGAGGTGGGCATTTGAGGGGGACTAAAGATAATCTGGGAGCTCTGGTAGCATAGTGCCTAAGGCACTTGACTGCTAACCAGAAGGCTGGCGGTTCAAACCCACCAGCCACTCCTCGGAAGGAAGGTTGGGCAATCCTACTTCCGTAGTGATACTGCCTCAGAAACCCAAGGAGGGGTCGCTATGAGTCAGGGCTGACTCGACGGCACATAACAACAACAACAAAGATAACCAGGAAAGGCACTGAAGAAAATGGATGTGGTAGTAGAGAGACTGATTTGTGGCTGAATCTTTTTCAAAACACTCCAGTTTCAAACCCTTCAGTGGCTTCCCAAGTCACATTGTGAAGACTAAGTCCTAATGATGGCCTGCAAGACTGTCGTAAGGATCTTCATATGAACATCGTACGAGATCTTACTTCAGCACCTCTGACATCTGTGGATAGATAATTCTCTGTTGTCGGGAACTGCCCTATGCATTGTAGGCTGGTTAGCAGCTTCCCTAGCCTTTACCCCCAAGGTGCTAGTAGTGTCCCCAAAGTTGTGACAACCAAAAGTGTTTCCAGGCATTGCCAATTGGCCCCTGGAGGACAAATTTATCCCCATTGAGAACTACTGTATTAAAGGATCTGTTCTTCTCTCCCAGCACTCCGCCCCAAGGTTATCCTCCTTCCTCCCTCTTGCTCACGCCTTTCTAGTTTCTTGGCCTCCCTGCTGTACAGCCACCTAAGGACTTCGTGTCAACTGTTTCCTACTCATAGAACATTTCCTTATCCATACAGCTAATCTGTCACCACCTTAAAAATTATAATCTACATAAAGAGACTAGAGGAACCCCTGAGAGGATTGCCCTAAAAAAAACCTCTAACTTGAAACTGAAAACATTCCCAGAGGCTACCTTCCAGCCAAATAAAAGATGGGACCATAAAGCAATGTGAAGAATGTACTCCTCAGAACAGTGAACAGTGAACTATAAGAGACCAACAGGACATTAGCCCAAAACCAAAGACGAGAAGACAAAGAGGGGCAGAGAAACTGGACAAATGGAAATGGGGAACCCAGGGAGGACATAGGGAGAGTGATAAGTTTCAGGAACTGCAGCCAATGTGAAAGAACAATGTGTTTATGAATTATTGATTAGAAATACTAATTTGCTATGTAAATTTTCATCTAAACCACAATAACATGGTGAAAAAGAAAAAAAGATTGTAATGGAGCCCCTGAGTGATGTAAACAGGTTGGCTACAAACTGAAGGTTGGTGGTTTGTATCCCTCCAGTGGCACCTTGGAATAAAAGCCCTGGTGATCTGCTTCCAAAAGTCACAGCCATCGACAGCTCTATGGACAGCAAACATTCTTTTCTGAAGCACATGGGATCTCCATGAGTTAGAATCAACTCGATGGCAACTTTTATTTTTAAAATTATAACATGGTCCCCATCTCAGCATTTCCTGTCTCCTTACCTTCTCTTATTTTGTCTTTTCTCTTTCCCCCAAAGTACAAATCACCTTCTAATATGCTATATAGTTTATCCATTTATTACTATAGTTACACGTAGTCCCTGACTTACAACAGGATTCCATTCTTACGATCCTGTCATAATTCTGTTCTGACCTAAGTTGAATACCTTTTTTTTCCTAGTTTTCATTATTATTGTCTTTTATTATCACTATCTTTATAAATATGAACTTTATTTGTCTTTGGGGGTTGGTAACATTACATACAAACTTACAGATATCTTGTAATACATAAATACATTAAAAATACACAAATAATAAAAATTTACTTTGGCATTGAAGAGTTGAACAGTGTTGACATTTTGTCAGTTGCAGTAATAACTCCACTTGTGGAAGGTTCTGTATCATCTGGATTATCCCTAGGAATGAGGATAGTGTTTCTAGTCAGAAAATTAGTAAGAATTGTCTCTATGGTCCTTTTCTTTTTTTCTTCATGTATTTTACAGTAACATCTCACTGCTTCCTGAAACTGCCTTTCAATTCCCTACACCAACACTGACACAGACTTCATTGTAGACCAGGCCACAGCCTGCTGTATGACAATGTTTTGAACAGTAAATCATAGCATTGAACATTTGTGAATGGATATCTGAGAATGATAACATCAACATATTACAAACTGAAACATTGTATGTAGTGTGTATCACTAACGATAAGATGTACAAAACAGTAGACAGGCAGGAAGACCTGGTATGGGTAGGCAAACAGGAATAGACCCATGATTCTACGTAAGTTTGGCAGATGATACTCCTACATACATACATTGTGGACCTGTGGACTTGGGGCCGTGGTTGCAGTGGACATCAAACTCAATTGGCACAACATAGCAGTGTAGTGCCTAAGGCACTTGACTGCTAATCAGAAGGCTGGTGGTTCATACCCACCAGCCACTCCTCAGAAGGAAAGTCAGGCAATCTACTTCCATAGTGATACTGCCTCGGAAACCCAAGGAAGGGTCGCTATGAGTCGGATCCGACTCGACGGCACATAACAACAACAACAACAACAGTGCACAAAAACATTTCTCTACATCCTACTTTGGGAGTAGCTACTGAGGTCTTAAAAGCTTGCAACAGCCATCTGAGATGACAATTATTGGTCTCTCCTCATCGGGGGCAAACGAGTGAAGGAAATCAAAGACTTACGCAAACAATTAGTCCAAGGGGCCAGTGGACCATGGGAACTTCAGCCTACATGACCTTAAGACCAAAAGAACTAGGTGGTACCTGAAAGGGATCAAAATTGGAGATCCTGAATAGAGTGGGAGGAAAAATATGGAACAAAATTCATTAACAAGAACAGGATTACTGGTTGCATAGAGAGTGGTGAGACCTCTGAGACTATGGCCCTGAGTCACCCTTTAGGCCTGGAATTTTTCTTACTTCCTTGCCTCAGCTCTCAGCCAAACAGTAGACAGGCCTATGAGCTGAACAACTGCAGTTGGGAGATACACTCCTTAGGACAGTCAACCATGGGAGAGCACAAGGGCAGCATTTGCACAAGGAGAAAGCTAGACAGGCAGAAATAGGTAAGAAGAATACAAAGACGTAACCACAGGGAGGTGGTGGAGAGCTGTTACATTGTTGGGATTGTAATTGGTGTCACAAACCAAAATGAGTATAAACTATTGAATGTAAAATGAATCTGCTTCATAAAATTACACCCAAATCACAATACAGAGTTAAGAAAAATATATACCAAACAAACTTCCACTCTTAAGTGCATTCATTGTGATTTTAATGTGTTATAAGTCCAGTACCACCTATATTTTTTAATTGCTTATTGTCTTTCTCTTCCAACTAGGATATAAACTCCATGGGGCAGGAAAACCATTCTCTTTTGCTCACTGCCTGGGACTGTGCCTGGCATCTCTGTTGTAGGCATGTAGTAATTATTAGTTTATTTATTTTAGATCTGTGTGTACAGTTTGGACTGATAAAACATAAAAGGAAGTTTTCTGGTAGGCTCTCCCAGGAGAGTTTGTTTCTGAGAGACGGGGACAAGAAGAGAGGAGAGAGAGAGAATCAAGGTGAGAAAGACAGAGGGATAGAGACATAGAGAGAAATACAGACAGATGAGAGAGAAGAGAAGGATAATGATACAGAGAGTTGGAAAGAGATGAAGAGAAAGACTTCTCTTCACAGAAAGAGAGACAGGGACAGACAAAGAGATAGGGAGAGACAAAGGCAGAGAAGAGAGACAGGCAGAAGGAGGTGAGGGAAGGAGAGCCAGAGGAGCAGAAAGGCAGAAATGGAGGGAGCGTGACAGAGAGACAGAGACACATGGGGAGGAAGGAACAAAAACAGATGAGAAAGAGAGGGAGAGGTGGAAAGAGAGCCCTGCTCTGCTCCTTTTGTTTGTTTGTTTGTTTTTTAAATAATATTTTATTGTTTTTGGTGAAGGTTTACACAGCAGTTTAGGTTCCCATTCAACAATTTCTACACAAGCTGTCCAGTGCCATTGGTTCCGTTCTTCACAATGCATGAACATTCCCATTATTTCCATTCGGGTTGTTCTGTTTCCGTTCATCTAGTCCCCGGCTTCCTTCCATTTTTGTCTTTGTTTTAAAGTAATGGTTGACCATTTGGTTTCATAAAGGTGATTCTTTAAAGGAGCAGTATTGGCTTCATTCTTACGCTTGCTCTCCTAATATAGCAGTACTAGGCTTACTTTCTACTTATTTCAGCTCATTTTTGACAGCAAGGAAAAAAAAAGTTCTTATTGGCTGGGCTTGGGTCATGTGCCAGTCATGTTGGATTGAAGTAAATGTGAGATGGTCATACCTGGTATTCTTACTCTGACGTTTCTTATTTTCCCATATTCAGAAGGCCTGTAGGTGGAGACACTAGGAGTAGAAACAGGTCCACCTGACTCCAAAACCTGTACTCTTTCATTCTTGGAATATTTTATTGTATTTTCAGTGGAAGTTTACACAGTTTAGGTTTACATTCAACAATGTTAATTTCTACACAAGTTGTTCAATGATATTGGTTACATTCTTCACAATTCATGAACATTCTCATTATTTCTGTTCTGGTTATTCTATTTCCATTAATCTAGTTTCCCTGCCTCCTTACATGCCCATCTTTCTTTTAAAACAATTGTTGACCATTTGTTCTCATATAGATGATTTTTGTAAAGAAGCACAGTACTTAAAGGTGACATTCATTATTTTTTGAGCCAATTTGTTATTTAATTACAAGGTGACTTCGGGTTGGTTTCAGTTCAAGGTTTGAAGAGTAACTCAGGGTAGTAGTCTTAGGGAGATCTCCACTCTCAACCAGTCCAGCAGGTCTAGTTTTTTTGTTTTGTTTTATTTTTTGGAAATTTCTAAAATGCGATTCTCTTCCACATTTTGCCTCATTCTGTTAGAGTTCATCTATTATGGCCCTGATCAGAACAATTGGTAGTGGTAACTGGCACCATCTTGTTCTTCTGGTCTCAGAGTAGATAAAACTATACTTTATGGTAATTGTTTTTAAAGTAATGAACTACAGCATAAGCATCGCTCACTTTCTTTCTTTGATCCCACAGGAAAATGGTTGACAAGGAGAAAAGTAAACAGTCTCACCGTTCCCTTAAGCTCAATGGCTGCTCTCAGTGTCTGAACTCCATTTCACTGGTAAGACAGCCTTTTTGGCAGTTGGTAAGCTGGGCAGTGCAAGGTGGGGTGCAAATAGGAATTAAAGAGGACCAAAGGACACTAATTAGGGAAGAGGAATAAAAATCCAGGGCGATTTCACTTCCCAGAGCCATAGAAATTGGGCCAGTATAGGTGTAAGGGAGGGAGGTTGATATGGGAAGGGTCTAAAAGGTTGCTGTATTAGCTGGGCAGCTTAGGCAAGGTGAGCTTCACCTTTTTCAACAACAATCCTGGAAAGATAATAGTAACACTCGCCTTAGAGGGTGGTACCAAAACCGAAACCAAACTCACTGCTGTCGACTCAGTTGCAACTCATAGCGACCCCTCCTTGGCTTTCTGAGGTGGTATCACTTCAGAAGTAGATTGCCCAATCTTTCTTCTGAGGAGTGGCTGGTGGGTTTGAACTGCCAGCCTTCTCATTAGCAGTCAAATGCCTTAGGCACTACACCACCAGAGCTCCTCTCAGAAGGTGGTAGTGAGGGTTAAATAAAACAAACTTTGTTAACTCACTTAGCACAGTGCGTGAGAAATGGTAGCCGTTCTTGCTATGATGGTACCTACTTAGTAGGTATTCACTGAGTGACTATAAAGTCACCCATTTTACATCCTAACTCCAGGTTTACCGGAGATCCAGAAACAACATGTCAGAACTCCTCAACTCCATCAGCCTGTGGCAGAAGACGCTGAAGGTCATTGGAGGCAAATTTGGAACCAGTGTTCTATCCTATTTTAACTTTCTGAAGTGGCTTTTGAAGTTCAACATTTTCTTGTTCATTGTGAACTTCAGCTTCATCATAATCCCTCAGTTTACCGTGGCTGAAAAGAACACCCTCCAATTCACTGGGCTGGAATTTTTAACTGGAGGGGTAAGTTCTCCATTTTCTTTGTGCAGAAACATCCAACCTGCATTCAGCACCCTAGAAACTAAGTAACATACCTGGCTGGTCACCTCATCCAGAAAACCTTATTGCCTGGGGGTGGACAGATGGGGAATGTGGGTGTTTTAATTTTTTTTCTGAAAGTAACATAAACACAACCAAGTGGAATTTTTATCCCCAGAGGTAACCACCATTAAGAGTTTGACGTTTTCCTCTCCATACTTCTCTTTTCTACATACATGTGGACACATTTACAAGTATATATGCATCCATTTCTTTTTTATGCAAAAGCTGAATTATTCATTATATACTGTCTACAACTTGATTTTTTTTTTTTTTAACTTAACACCATGTTGTGGATATTTTCCCATGTTGGTATTCGTGGGTATAATTTTTCTTTCTTTTTTGTTGTTATGTCCACAACATACAGTGTTTCTTCTGGAAAATTTCTATTAAATAGAAGAGAGCAAACTGAAAAACTGAAAGTTCACTTTACACTTCATCCCTTGCCTAACTTCCATTCAAGGTATGTCCATGCACACTGTTTTTCTTCCTATACAAACATAGATACACACACACACACACACACACACACAAAAAAAATTCTTGTAAAACAATAAAAAAGAAGATAAGATTGTACTACAGGTCTTGTTTTGCAACTTTTTTTTTATTCCACTAGATATCTTGGACATCTATATAGGTGCCCATTCTTTGTTTTAACAGCAGCCATAATTTATTTACCCAACTCCCTATGGAAGCATATAGTCCCTGCCTTGTGAGCTTTTGTTCTTGAAGGGATTGTTGCCATTGAGTTTCTGTAGAGCTGAGATTGGAAAACTACAGCCCAAGGGCCAAATTTAGCCTGAAGCCTGTTTTTGTACAGCTGTGAACACAAGATGGTTTTTATATTTTTAAGTAGTTGAAAAGAAGAGTAACATTTTGCGAAACATGGAAATCATAAGAAATTGAACTATCAATGTCTGTAAATAGTTTTGTCAGAACACAGACACATCTGTTTACATATTGTCTGTGGTGCTTTCAGGCTACAGGGGCACAGTTCAGCAGTTACTGCAATGACCATCTGGCCTGCAAAGCAAAAAATATTTATCATTTGACCCTTTACAGAAAAAATTTGCTGACCTCTGTTGTAAAATATAGTATGATCTTTTGTTTACCTCTCTCTCTCTGTCTCTCTCTTTCTCCTTCTCTTTCTCTCCCTTGCTCTTTCATTACAAGAAAATTTCCTTGAGATAGATGCCTTAAAATGGAATTACTGTGTAAATTTTTCCTTTCTTCTTTGTCATTACTACACACAGTTACACGAGACTTTTTTAATGAAAAATTTCAAACATACAGAAAAGAGTAGTATAATAAACACCCATTAACTCCTCTACATAGATTTAAAATTATTAACATTTTGCCATATTTACTTAGTCTTATTTTTTTGGAAGCATTTTAAAGTAATTTACAGACATCGGGACATTTTATTCCTAAATTCTTCAACATGCATTTCTAAAACATGACACATTTCCACAGTCACCTATTTAAAAAAAAAAAAAAAATCCCTAATGTCCTTTAAAAATCAGACCATGCGTATTTTCCCAATTGTCCCCAAAATGTTTTTAATAGTGTATTTGTTTAGATCCCACACTGATCAAAGATCACTTGTGGTATTTGGTTGTTTTTTCTTTTGTCTTTAGAACAGTTCTTCCAGCCCCATTTGCCTTTTTTCTTGACACTGAATTGTTGCAGAAACCTGGCTAGTTGTCCCATAGATTCCAACGTCCTAGATGCTGGAGTTAGTTGTTTCCTCGTAATCTCCTGTAATTTGTTCCTCTAGCCCCTCTTTCTTTCTTTCCCCTTTTTAATTGATATTTGAGTGAAAGTTTACAGAGAAAATTGGCTTTCCATTCAGCAATTCATATGTATATATTTTTTTTGTGACATTCAGTACAATCCTCACAATGTAACAACACTCTTCCCACTTCCTCCCTGTGTTTACCATTTCCCTTCATCCTTCTTTCCCATCCCTTCTTAGCTTTATCCCGGGACAAATGCTGCCTGTTGTTGTTGTTGTTGCTGTTAGGTGGTAAACTTTATTTTATTTTTTTAATCTAAAAGAATGTATTTATTATTAAAACTATAATAGCAATTCCATGTTTGTAAAAGTGGTATTGTACTCCATATGGTTTCAAAGGCTGATTTTTCAGAAGTTAATTTCCAGGGCTTTCTTGTTAGGTACTGCTGAGTGGACTCAAAGCTGCAAACTTTGAGTTACCACCCGAGTGTGTTAACTGTTTGTACCCATAAACAGCACTAAATTATAAAGTAAAAAGTAGAAAGCCTATCTTCCATTCCTGGAGGTAAACACTGTCAACAGTATCTTGTGTATCCTTTGTTGTTGTTGTTGTTGTTAGATGTCATCAAAATGGTTCTGACTCATAGGGGCCCTATATAAAATCAATTTGCACCATCCTCACCATTGTTGGTATGTTTGAGCCCATTGTTGCAGCCACAGGGTCAATCCATCTCACTGAGGGTCTTCCTCTCTTTCACTGACCCTCTACCAAGCATGATGTCCTTCTTCAGGGACTGGTACCTCCTGATAACGTGTCCAAAGTCCATGAGACAAAGTGTCACTCTCCTTGCTTCTAAGGAGAACTCTGGCTATATTTCTTCAAGACAGATTTGTTTGTTTCTCTGGCAGTCCATGGTATATTTAATATTCTTTGCCAACACTATAATTCAAAGGCATCAATTCTTCTTTGGTCTTCCTTATTCGTTACCCAGGTTTTACATGCATATGAGGCTATAGAAAATACTGTGGCTTGGGCAGGCTCATCTTAGTCTTCAAAGTGACATCTTTGCTCTTTAACACTAGAGGTCTCTTGCAGCAGATTTTCCCAGTGCAGTATGTCATCTCATTTCTTTCTTTCTTTTTTTTTTATTTTAAGAGCTTGTTTTACATTCAGTGTTACATGTACATTTAGTTTCATTCCCCATTTGCCATGTCCAACCCCAACCCAGTCTCCTCCCCTCCCTACCCTATAACCTTCCCCCCGCACCCCTCATATTTATGCATTTCTGTTTGTCCTGCATTTCCTAAATTTGAATGTTGGTCCTCTGGTGTCCCCATGGTCTACTGCTCTAAGGGTTGTATTACCATAGAGTATGTGGGTGCATCATCCTGGGTTGAGTGGTCTGCATGTACATCTTGTTAACTATTAGGCTGAGAGCCAGCCCCTGGGGGTGCATTTTATTCCAGGCACCAAATGTATTCCAGGGCCATAGTACTGGGCATCTCACCAGATTTCATCTGACCAGTAATTCTGGTCATTTTTGAGTTTTTT